ATTTTTTCCAATTTCACCCTTCCCATTCCTTTCTTATACCCATTTTAACCTTTAACTTTAACAAAATTACAAAATTATCAACACCAAATAAAAAAATCAATGCCTATAACTTGCTCCTCTCATCAAACCTTCTTTATTATTTGGACCGGCCGGTTCATTGATTCAACCGGTTAAACCGGTCAAACCGGAAACCGAACCTAAAAACGGTTCAATAACCGGTCCGGTTTTGAAAACATTGGTAGCAAGAGATGTAATTAGGAGATTTGATTTCCAAGAAGTTTGAATTTTGTTATAATTTCAGATAAAATGTTTGTCTAACGTTTTATAGTAATTTCATTGGACAAATTTTTATTTCTCCATTTTTCTCAAATAAAAAACAATAAGTTATAATTCTACCTAATTTATTTGTTAAAATTTGAAATCAAAAGAGTATGGACGAAAATAACTTTTGATAAATTTACTTTAAAATTTGATTTCATGGTATGATTGTGATCATTTTTGAAAAATATTTTTTTAATGTAATGTTATTTTTTGCGAATTCAACGGACCTCAAATATTGGTCTAATATTTTAATTCAATTGAACGAAAAAATTTCTTTTTTTCCTTTTCCTTAAATCAGCCAACATAACGGGCTCTAATTTTGACTAACTTTTTGGTTACATAAGTTAATTAAATTGTTTATAAATTAATGAACTAGTGTTAGTTTTAAAACTTTATTCTTAATAAGATTTTTTTGAAAAAATTTTGGTCCTCAATGGTTAATTTTAATTGTTTAAATTTTAATAAAAAATCAAAAATAAAAAATTGCAATTATTTCTTTTAGTACAATTAGATGATAAGTACTATACAATAAGAGATAATTTTTTTTTTTTTAACTCTTCTTTATCCATTATAAATTTCAAGACTCAAGTTTTTAATTATTGATATGTTATTTGGTGAAACAAAAAATAATTGTAATCATACTAACTAAATAGAGCCTTCTTGTCATGGGTCAATATTATTTTGAGATTTTAAGTTTGATTTTATCATGTGTAGAGTTAATTTAACATTATACTGGTGTTTAATTTCATTTAACAATAATTGAGATTTACATTGTTAGCATATAATGTAGCAGTAGATATTCGAATAACTCTTTTTTACTATTACATTCAAACCAATCATTTTACACATTGTACCAAGCTAAATACATATAATTTAAATTTATAATTAAAAAATACATATGATTTTATCACCAAATCACATATTTTTGCCTGAGTTTCTCTTTTTGTTTTGTTTTCTTTTCTTTTTACATTTAGAGTATATATTGGGACGCAATGGAATATTACTTTTGAATATTTTAGTTAAGCAGGGGATTTTTCTCGATGACCTTTCTCTTTAAAAAACACAAGAAGCCCTACAAGGACATAGGGATGAAAGCGAAAGGGACCCTCCAAGTTGAAGAAATTTCATAGGTATGAACTCAAGAAATTTATGACGAAGAATAAAACAAAAATAATGAAAGGGTTTTTTTATTTTATGTTTTTGGGCACAAGATAAAGATAAAATAAATATATTTTTTGTAATTAATATATATAAAAAAATAAAAATTAATTTAAACTTAATTGATTGATTAATTAAAATTATTT